CCCGCGGGGGGGGGGGCGCTGCCCTTCCTCCCCAGAGCCAAGGGGGCCGAGGCCGGGCCCCTCCGCGCAGCAGCTTGGTCTGTGGGTGGGAATCATGACCTGCTCCGGGGAAGTCCTTGGAAAGACACCGGTTGACTTCAAGTCAGTAGATTTTTTTTTTTTTTGGATCTGGTCCTATCTGTTCTGCAATGTGATTTGTCCTTTTCATATTTGTTCTTTTTTTTAATTGTATCCTTTGGTATATATGGTTGTGACTACTTTCTTCCACTATTTGATCTGAGGAAGTGGGTCTGGCCCACGAAAGCTCATCATCTAATAAACCATCTTGTTAGTCTTTAAAGTGCTACATTGTCCTGCATTTTGCTTCAACTACCCCAGACTAACACGGCTACATTTCTATCACTATCTTGCATGACAATGTCTGCAATAGAAACACAGCCCAGATCTTTTTGTCGATTTTTTTTTTTTAAATGCATGAAACACTCTCTTCATAGGTTTCACAACACTTGTGTGGGGTTCAGAACCATCTGAAGTCCCTTAAGCTGTATCTTGCCTCTCACATGGATTTTCCTGTGTTTGTGATGCAGGTGTTCTTTGCACCTCCTAACCTCACTATTAAAATAGTAACCATGCAAACTGGGAGGATGGGATTTTTGTATGTGCTCTGCAGGTGTTCTAGCAGTTTTGTCCTGTTTCTTCATGGGAAGGCTTCCTCCCTTTATAACAGCATACCTCATCTTAGCTTGGGACTGGTCAGCGTGGTTGCTTATGAATCTGTGTGTGGTAAAGTAAATTTGTATTAAATGCTCCGTAGCTCAGTTTGGAAGAAACCTCCAACACGATCAGGCCGCGATTGCGCTGTACAGGTGCATGCATAGATATGTTTCCAGCCCTGAAGAGTTTATAATCCAAGGCCCTAGTCATTGACTTTGTGTAAAGTTAACTACGTGTAAATATTTACGGTCTTGTGGGCCTAATTCTAGATGAGACAGTAGCAAACTGAAGGGAGAGGATGGAATAATAGTTACGGCAATGTGCATATATGCGTATTGGAGGTATATATGCAAAGGTGAAAATAAGGGGGTGGCTGCTCGGGCAAGAGCCCGCTGGGTTGTGGCAAGAACCCACTTGGGATGAGGTTTTTTTTTTTTAAACTTTCAACTCTTCCAGATTACTGTGCCTCTTTCAGGAGTCTTTTTTGCCTTGAATACCCCAAGACAAATAAGACAAACCCCACCACACTCATCTCCGTTCCCCAACCCTGACTCCTGCACTCCCCCACCACACAACCTTCTGCTCAGAGCCTCCTGCATCCTCTGCCTTGGGTCCCACCCACCCTAACCCCTGTCCTGAGCCTCTGACACCCAGTCTCCCCCCCCCACTCCCTTCTGCCCTGACTCTGCCCACACACACACTCTTAGTCCCCTGCCCTGAGCTTCCCCTGCACCCAGCTAACTCTGGCAACCCCCCCACACACACCCTCAGCTCCCTGCCCTAAGTTTCCCCCACACACACTCCAAAGGGAATGAAACTGCATTAATAACAAAATTGGAGTTATTGCGTTAATTACATATATTTTACATTTACAATATTTTACGTTACAAATCCTCTTCAGTTTTCATTTCTTGTGGGGGGGAAATACTTTCACACCTGGCCTGATGTATCATAGCAGTACTATCCTCTCTAGGGATGTAAGTGACTAGTCGACTATCCATTAAGCAAATGCTTATCAAGTAGTCTAGTAGGAACTAGACTAGTTGCTTCCCCCCCTCTACCTTGCTGCCTCTATCAGAGAGAGGCAGCGGGGGGGGGGGGCAGGAGCCGGCTTAAAAGCTGGTTCTGCCCCCACACTGTCTCCGTGGAGGGCAGGGGAAGCAGAGAGCAGCACGGATATGATGCGAGCGGGGACTGAAACAGTCCTGCTCACTCTGGTCCAACTGCTGCTCCTCTCCCTTTGACATGTACAAGAGATGCCTGCAGCTCTTGTACATTTCAAAGGGAGAGGCACAGTGAGGATAGCGAGCACTTCCCTTATCGACTAATTGAGTAGTCGATGAAAATTCCATCAACTAGTTGATTAGTTGATTAATCATAATTTAACATCCATAATCCTATCGCAACCTGCTTCCCCCACGGTGAGTGGATTGCGATAAGACAGGATCTGAAAGACATTTAAGTTACTTTTATCCCTGCATACATGCACAGAGGACATCCTGCCCAAAAATGAAATTGGTTTTCTCAAATGTTAAGTGAGTGTTGTGCTACATGTTATTGCTTACCCAGACACAAACCCTTCCCTGTTTTCTTGTCCCCCTCCTTAATCATTTCTCCCTGATTGCATCCTCCTCCTTGCCTAATGCAAATATGATTATAAAATAAATGTATGCTTTTGTTTCAAGTCTGTACTTCTGTGATTAATGAAAATGGATCTGTGATCAGATAATTGAAACACCAGTGCAGCCCCGCACACCTAAAGTTTCAAATGAGTGTATGCTTTTCTTGCAATAAATTAAAATAATGGATTATTCTCTTGTTATGTTTATTGGTATTTATCTATCTTAAGCCTTTCTAATGTTTATTATAATGTCCAAAAATCATTTGATTAAGGCAAATCTTGTCACACTTATGCTTCATCTGTATATTACATACATGCTTTATTACTCAGCTGTCCAGAATGATTTTCAAATGATTTGTAGTGCTTGTCTGACTACACAACTCTATTTTCTGCTTTGTAATAGAACAACGGGCAACACCTTTGATTAGATTCTTCTAGCCTCCATTTCTCCATATCAAGTTTTGCTGAGGAAACCCTTGTTGGGTTTTATATTTATTCACGCTCCCCAATTTCTGCACAGCTGGTCTCAGTTTACAAGACAAATGGTTGATTTTTTTTTCTAGTTGCTAGCACTGCAAACTCGAGTTGTGAGCTGAAAAATCCAGTAGTGTTCTTTCTGCCTCCTACTGCCATCATGAGTAATAGAGATTCTAGGATCAGAAGTTTATTGACAACTTTGTTATAACAGACTTGGAAACTTTTTTGGAAGTTCCAGTTGAACACAACAATCTTCCTAAGTATACCTCCCCATAGATGACTAGCAAGCTGCTGTTTAAAGAAGGAATGTGTACTTTATAGTCTAGGTAACCTAATCAGTGTATTTTTAGTCCTGATGCATGCATCACTTTATTGTAGTAAATTATACATAGATACATCCATTGCTGCACTTTTAAAGTAATCAATTTGTTTTAACTCCCAGTATCAATCTTACTACTCTCTTAAATTGCACAATATAGAATCACTCCACGTGCGCTTTCAGTGACAATGCTGCATCATCTCTGTTCGATGCTATAAATGGCTGTATCCTGAAACAAATATTTACAAATTTGCCTAAAGGAGACTGTGTCACAATAAATCATGTTACTTTAAATGTCCTTAACTCTTTCATAGAATCCTAGGGCTGGAAGAGTCTTCAGGAGATCGAGTCCAGCCCCCTATCCAAAGCAGGACCAACCCCAACTCAATCATCACAGCCAGGGCTTTGTCAAGCCGAGATTTAAAAACTTCTAGGGATGGAGATTCCGTCCCCCTCCCTAGTGAACCCATTCCTATACTTCCCCACCCTCCTAGTCAAATAGTTTTTCCTAATATCCAACCTGGACCTCCCCCACTGTAACTTGAGACCATTGCTCCTTGTTCTGCCATCCGTCACTACTGAGAACAACCTCTCTCCATCCTCTATGGAACCTCCCTTCAGGAAGTTGAAGTCTGCTCTCAAATCCCCCCTCACTCTTCTCTTCTACAGACTAAATAAGCCCAAATCCCTCAGCCTCTTCTCGTAGATCATGTGTTCCAGCCCCCTCATCATTTTGGTTGCCCTCCGCTGGATCCTCTCCAATGTGTCCACATCCTTTCTATAGTGGGGGGCCCAGAACTGAACGCGGTTCTCCAGATGTGGCCTCACCAATGCCGAATAAAGGGGAATAATCACTTCTCTAGATCTGCTAGAAATGCTCCTCCTAATGCACCTCAATATGCCATTAGCCTTCTTGGCTACAAGGGCACACTGTTGACTCATATTCAGCTTCTCATCCAATGTAATCCTCAGATCCTCTTCTGCAGAACTGCTATTTAGCCAGTCAATCCCCAGCCTGTAACAGCCCTTGGGTTCTTCCATCCCTATGTCATTGTTAAAAATAAAAGGCTAGTAAAAACCTATTGTATTTTCAGTAGGGATGCAAAATCCTGTGAAATTGGTTTACCAGTTAAATGTGAAGTTTTTCTTCTCATTTAACCACTTAACCAATTAAGTGGGAAGGAGGTCCTAGCTGGAGCGGCCTTGTGGCCTGGCTGGAGTGGCCCCCTGCTGCAGCCCCTGGCTACAATGTACCCGGGTTTACTCCAGAAGCCCGGAACAGCCCCTGTCGTTTGGCCCTGCAGGGCTGGAGCCAGCCCCCTGTCTATGAAGGGTGGGGAGCTGCTCTAGCCCCATGGGTTAACTGGAAGTGGTAAGTATCACCTGTTAAGGGTGATGCTTACTGGTTAACCTTTCCCATCCCTATTTTTTACTTGTTTGTGCACTTTTACTCTTTTAGTTCTATTCTGTCTGGGCAATGAAAATAGACAGTTTCATTGTGGGGTTCTCATGTGGTCACACAGTGATGGGATGTTGGGTTTGTAAACATTGCAGAAGAACCTTTAACTCCAAACAGCAAAACACCTTTAATTGGAGCTTTAAAAAAAATCCTCTGTGTGTTTGAATGAGGTTGCTAAAATCTCTTTGTGCATGATGCCTAAAATGTTAAGAACAGATCATGTCCACAGTTCCTCTGTGGTTTTGTTGGTCATTTAAACTATTGTTACTGCCCTAAGCAATTTTTCAATCCTGTTAGTCATGCAGATCCAAAAGAGTTAGAGAGAGATGTGTGGTAATAGAAGAAGAAAGAGAATTTAGCTTGATTCTGAAATCCCAGATTGAGTTTGCAGGACTGGCAGACCAAGAAATAATCTTTAATCTTTGTCTGTAATCACACTTTTAAATGTGGCCATGGTCAGAAAAATGATTGTGAAAATAGTACATCACTCAGCAGATTTACTCCCTGGCTGCGTCTAGACTGGCATGATTTTCCGGAAATGCTTTTAACGG